TGGGGTGGTGGGAGAGGTAGTGGGGGATGGGGAGGTAGTGGGTGGTGAGGGAGGTAGTTGGTGGTGGGAGAGGTAGTGGTGGTGGAGAGGTAGTGGGTGGTGGGAGAGGTAGTGGTGGTGGGAGAGGTTAGTGGGTGAATGGGAGGTAGTGGGTGTTGGAGAGGTAGTGGGTGGTGGCGACGAGGTAGTGGTGGTGGGAGAGGTAGTGGCGTGGTGGAGTAGTGGGTATGTGGGGAGGTAGTGGGTGGTGTGGTAGTGGGTGGTGGGGAAGCAAGGTAGTTTAATTGTGGTCGGGGAGGTAGTGGGTGTGGAGCTCAGGGAGAGGTATGGGTGATGTCAGAGAGGTAGTTGGGTGGTGGAGAAGGAGTGGGTGATGGGAGCTCAAGGCGAGAGGTAAGTGGGTGGTGGAGCTCGCAGCGGAAGAGGTAGTGGGTGGGTGGGGGAGGTAAGTGGGTGATGGGGAGGGGGTATGAGGGTCTCAACCATGATATATTCATTTACCATCCGTGTTAAGACTAAGTTAATGGCAGGGAAACATTTTACAGCTCTCATCCCTATCCTCAATCCATCCCTCTCTGTGCAAGTATATTCAAAAGGCACAATTCTCATTAAGGAATTACGTGTTTTTACTCCAACGTTAATTTCTTGAGGGGAATGGGAATGAGGGCGCATATCACACCCAAGAAAACTCATGACCGACTGTAAAAATATTATCGATTTTCACCCTGAAGTTTTGCTTTTTTTGAACCTCATTGCTATACCCCCTCCCTCCCTTCAGCCCCCTCATCCTCCATTTGTCTGCTGTATGCGTAGAGTATGTGTGTGTGGGCGTGGTGGCGGCAGTAGATGGCTAAAGGGTTCGCTCGCCATTCCCAGCTGCATATTTTATATAGGAGCAATTGCCCGGCAATAGTCAGTAATTATGAAACTCTGCTGCTCTCGTGTGCTCTGCGACTGCAGCTAATACCGTTGCCGCGTTGCGTGGCGTTACGTCGTAAAATCCTTGTTGTCGTAAAAATTTCGCTCGTCAAATGTTTGATGGAATTGAGGTCAATATTGGCGAGGCGGCATTTCAGTGCAGAACGTGGGTTTATGAGTGTGTTGTATATGTCTGCACTTTAGCACTGTAGGCTCTGTAGGCTGTAGTCCAAGTGATGAGGGTTGGGGGGGGGGCGGAATCATGTCTCGGCTGGATAATGAGGCAAAGGATGCTGGCTCCTAATGTTGTGGGCCATAATGTGGTGGGTGGGGTGGGGTGGGTGACGAGGGATTTCTTGGCTGATTTACACCTATTTTCGGGTTGTCTACATTTATTCCTGTTTCTGTTTCTTCGGCACATCCGGAAGAGGCAGCCCACCCCCTGAGGCTAACGGGCCCTTGAGTGGAGCATGGTATGGTTTGTGTGTGGCGTGCGTGCCGTGCGTGTGCGCGCTGAGTGCGTACGGTGTGTGCGTGCTGTGCGGTGGTTTAATTGTTTATGAATAAGCTTGTATCTCCATGTTGTCTGTACTGCCCGTGAATGCGACCTTACTCAGCGAGGAGGAGAGAGAGCAACATTGGCTTGAACTTTTGACCATGATGGGAGAATTCTGGTAAGATGTTACATCATGTATATATTTATTTTATTCGCATAATCAACATTCCATAATCCTGACTATGATAATATTTTAATCGTGTATACTCGCTTATTTAAATACTACAAAAACTAATGATACAGAAAATTATATGTGTGCCTTTATACCATGATAATATCAGGAAGTGTATAGATAGGGAGGAGTGTGACACAATAAACAAGTGGAAATGTGCGTCATTTACTAGGCTTATAATACCTACGATTTAACTAACGCGTACTCATCCAACTTGAGCTGCAAATCGGACACAGTACATTCGCCCATCATCGTTCGAGAATCTTTGCCTCGTATAGACCCGCGCCAATTCGAGATACAACCTAAAGACATACGACGACGATTGCTCCAATGCTTTGGCCATTAATCAACCCGTCAGAGCGCACCTATAATTCAAACAAAAGGCAGCTACTAACCATCACTGTCCCACCGGCTTTGCGCTCACGACGGCGAGGCACTGTGGCTGCGGCAAGGGTGATTAGGCATCAACAGCAACACTCGCGAGATAACGGCTTTGACCCGTAACATCAGCTACAATGTATGCCTTATGTCATAGGCCGGATGCCGGCATATACAGCTGGACATGCCCCATCCCACGCCACAGCAAGCTCAATCGCTATCAGCAGCAGATCGGATTGAAATCTCGCCTGGCGAGCCACAGCGCCTCGCCGTGAGCGCAAGCCGTGGACAGTGGTGGTTAGTAGCTGGCCTTTTTTGTTTGAATTATAGGGCGCGCTATGGCGGTGGAATTATTGGCCAAAGAATATGGAGAGATTGTGTCGTAGGTTTTAGGCTGTATCTTCGGATTGCGGGTGTCTACGAGGAAACGATTTGGTAGCGATGATCGGGCGAATGTAACTGTGTCGCGATTTTGAGCTCAGTTGGATGAGTTACCGTAGTAAATCGTCAAGGGTATTATAGGTAGTAAATGACGAATTTCCCTTGATTTATTTGATGTCACACTCCTCCTATTATACACTCGCTGATAATGATTGTTGATAACACAAAATATATTCACAAGATGTTAATGTAACTGTAACAAGTGTAACACAATGTCTAGAGTCACGCTCTCGTGAACGCCTCATCATCGTCCCACCTACGTTAGTCTGTCCACTAGAGTCACGCCTCACGTGAACACCATCATGTCATCGACCTGTCACTAACAGTCATAGTCATTGTCCTACGCTTAGCCACAGATCAGCTCACGATGAACACTCATCATCGTCACCGTACGTTATCTGTCCAACTAGAGTCACGGCTCGACTGAACGCCTCATCATCGTCACCTATTTCTGTCCACTAGAGTCACGCTCACGTGAACGCTTCATCTCGCACTACGTTATCTGTCGCACTAGGCGTCACGCTCACAGTGAACGCTCATCATCTCACCTACGTTATGCTAGCCACTAGAGGTCACGCTCACCGTGAACGCCTCTCATAACTCACGCTACGTTATCTGTCCACTAGAGCCTCACGCTCACAGTGGAACCTCATCATCGCACCTACGTTATCTGTCCAGCTAGAGTCCACGCTCACCAGTGAAACCTCATTGCATCGTCACCTACGTTTCTGTCACAGAGTCACGCTTCACTTGGAACGCGCTCATCATCGTCACCTACGTTATCTGTCTTCACTAGAGTCACGCTCACAGGTGAACCTCATCATCGTCACCTACGTTAATTGTTCACTAGAGTCACGCTCATCGCATGAACGCCTCATCATGTACCTACGTTATCTGCTTCACTAGAGTCACGCTCTCACCGTGAAGCGCTCATCATCGCGTCACCGGTACGTTATCTGTCCCACTAGAGTACCTCACGACTCATGCGGTACGTAGACTGCGCCTACAGTCACGCTCAGGTGAACGTACCTCACCGGGGGGGGGTTAGTACTGTCCACAGAGTCACGCCTCACGTGAACGCCTCAGTCCATCGTCAACCTACGTTATCTGTCCACTAGATCCACGTGCAACCTCAATCATTCGTCACCTACGTATCTGTCCACTAGAGTCACGCCACGGAAACGCCTCATCTCGCGCACCTACGTTATCTGTCCACTAGAGTCAACGTGACCCTCATCCATCGTCACCTACGGTTTATCTGTCCACTAGAGTCACCGCCTCACGTCTGAACGCCTGCATGCATCGGTCACCGTACGTTATCTGTCGCACTAGAGTCACGCTCACGGTGAACACTCATCAGTCGTCACCTACGTTAATCTGTCACGTAGAGTCACGCCTCACGTTGAACGCTCATCATCGTACACCCTACGTTATCTGTCCACTAGAGTCACGCTGCGAGTGAACACTCATCATCGTCACCTACGTTATCTGTCCACTAGGCACGCTTCAGTGAAACACTCCATCATCGCTCACCATCACGTGTATCTGTCCACTAGAGTCACGCTCACAATGAACACTCATATCATCGTCACTACGCTTATGGTTCACTAGAGTCACGCTCACGTTGCAACGCGCTCATATCGTCACCTACGTATCTGCTCCACTTAGAGTCACGCTCACAGTGAACACGCTCATCATCGTCACCTACGTTATCTGTCCACTAGAGTGCACGCTCACGTGAACGCTCATCACATGCGTCACGCTACGCTTTATCTGTCCACTAGATGTCACGCTTCACGTGAACGCTCATCATCGTCACCTCGTTATCTGTCCACTAGAGTACCTGTGAAGCGCTCATCATCGTCACGCTACGTTACCTGTCCACTAGAGTCACGCTCGCACGTGAAACGCTCAATCGGCGCTCACTAGTTATCTGTCCCTAAGAGTCACGTAAGACCTCATCATTCGTCACCATACGGTTATCTGGTCCACTAGAGTCACTGCTCGACGTGAACGCTCATCATCGTCACCTACGTTATCTGCTCCACTAGAGTCAGCTCACGTGAACCCTCATCATCGTTCACCTACGTTAATCTGCTTTTCCTTTTTCTTCCGCACTAGAGCACGCTCACGTGAACGCTCATGCATCCGTCACCTACGGTTATCGTCAGCGTAGAAGCACGCTCACGTGAACCGCTCATTACATCGTCACCTACGTTATCTGTCACTTAGAGTCACGTCCGAACGTGAACGCTCATCATCGCTCACCTACGTTATCTGTCCACTAGAGTCACGCTCACGGTGAACGCTCATCATCGTCACGCTGACGTTAATCTGTCCACTACGAGGTCACGGACTCACGTGAACGCTCATGGCACGTCCACCTACGTTATCTGTCCACTTAGATGTTCTTACAATGACTTCGTTCTCAGCACACATTCATGCCAGTGTGGCAGAATCTGTAACCTCGGACACCGGACTGTCTTCGCATGAGGATGAGGAGGCATACGGGAAGAAGAAGTGGGACGATGAAACCTGCTGTCAGGTAAGCTGAGGTGGGAGGATGCCACGCGGCGATGCAGCGAACTACCCTCGGTATGACATCCTAATTACAGGGCTTCTGCTTAAAGCACACAACTTCATGTGGACAGGCTGAATTTACTGTAATCCAAACCCCCTGATCCTTACTGTAAGGCTAACTCTTACTGTAACCCGGACCCTAGCCCTTACTGTAACACTGACCCTAACCCTCACTGTAACCCAAACTCCCTAATCCTTACTGTAACCCAAACGCCATAATCCTTACTGTAAGCCTAACCGCTACTATAACCCTGACCGCTTACTGTAAGCCTAACCCTTACTGTAACCCTGAACGCCTACTGTAAGCCAAACCCTTATTGTAACGCCAGACCCTTACTGCTAAGCCTAACCGGCTTAGTCTGAAGACTCTAACGTAACCCCTAACCCTTACTGTAAGTCTAACCCTTATTGTAGCCCTAACCCTTACTGTAAGCCTAACCCTTCCTGTAACCCTGACTCGTACTGTTACCCTGACCCTTACTGTAACCCTAATCCTGATTGTAACCCAGACCCTGACCTTGATCCCAACACTGACCCTGACCTTGATCCCGACCCTGACCTATGGATCTATGTTGTAGATACATTCTGGATGAACCCACAGTTCAGGGTTTCGATGGAGGATGCAGATGAAGATGATGATGAGGAGGAGAAGTGTACATGCATCGTCGCTCTCATGCAGAAAGGCGGCCGTAACAAACGCAAGGAAGGCATGGATCTACGCACCATCGGTTATGCTGTCTACAAGGTACGATGTAGGGGGCACCACTGTTAGCACCATCGGTTATGCTGTCTACAAGGTACGATGTAGGGGGCGCCACTGTTAGCACCATCAGTTATGCTGTCTACAAGGTACGATGTAGGGGGGCGCCACTTACAGCAACATCAGTTATGCTGTCTATACAGTGAGATGTAGGGGGCACTACTAGTAGGCTAGACATTGTAAGTTATGTTGACTGTTATGTTATTGTATCTATGAAGGAGAAGCAGTCGCTGTAACGAAATTAATATGATTACTATAAGTAGGTATGCCTATAGTGTAATAGTATTGGCATTGTATACATTATGTATAGTATAGTAATGTATTGTATATGTTATGTATAGTAATGTATTATATATGTCATGCATAGTTTAGTAATGTATAATATATGTCATGTATAGTATAGTAATGTATTGTATATGTTATGTATATTAATGTATTATAATATGTCATGCATAGTTTAGTAATGTATAATATATGTCATGCATAGTATAGTAATGTATTGTACGTGTGTTAACAGCTGAAGGAAGAGCAAGCTGATCGTCATGAACCGCTAGCTAAGCAGTTCTTCGCGTACACGGCATCGGTGGCGCGCTCTGCCTCCTTCATCAACATGAGAGAAGTCAGCAGCAGGTAACCATGACGATGCAACGTTTACTCATGTTTGTAATGTTTGCTTGCTGTAACTTGCTGTAACCATTATTGCTGTAACTTGCTGTCACCAGCCTTGTTGTAACTTGCTGTAACCAGCCTTGTTGTAACTTGCTGTAACCAGCCTTGTTGTAACTTGCTGTAACCAGCCTTGTTGTAACTTGCTCTAACGCCTTGTTGTAACTTGCTGTAACCAGCCTTGTTGTAACTTGCTGTAACCAGCCTTGTTGTAACTTGCTGTAACCAGCCTTGTTGTAACGCTTGCTCTAACCAGCCTTGGTTGTAACTTGCTGTAACCAGCCTTGTTGTAACTTGCTGTAACCAGCCTTGTTGTAACTTGCTCTAACCAGCCTTGTTGTAACTTGCTGTAACCAGCCTTGTTGTAACTTGCTGTAACCATGCAGCCTTGTTGTAACTTAATTGCTGCAACCAGCCTTGTTGTAACTTGCTGTAACCAACCTTGTTGTAACTTGCTGTAACCAGCCTTGTTGTAACTTGCTGCAACCAGCCTTGTTGAAACTTGCTGTAACCAGCCTTGTTGTAACTTGCTGTAACCAGCCTTGTTGTAACTTAATTGCTGCAACCAGCCTTGTTGTAACTTGCTGTAACCAACCTTGTTGTAACTTGCTGTAACCAGCGCTTGTTGTAACTTGCTGCACCAGCCTTGTTGAAACTTGCTGTAACAAGGCCTTGTTGGTACTCATTGCTGTAACTGCTTTGCTAACTTGCTTGTTGTAACTTGCTGTAATAGCC